AGAGAGAGAGAGAGAAAATATGTAGAAGAAAGAGATAGAGGAGAGAGAGGAGACGCTCTGGCAGAAAACGAGACGAAGGTTCTGGTAGAGCGTGAAAGGAAAGGGGGACGTGGGAGGGGATCTGAGAGGTATAGAAGAAGATGGGAGAGAAGAGAGTAGAACGCAAGGGACGCTAGGCAGTAACTCACGCCCCCGAGAGGATTACCTACCTTGGCAAGGCTGGAGGAGGGTATATCCCACGTTGAGCTACGATCTTGCTGCGTAGCTACGCGTTCCTCATACCAAGTGTCCTCGGTACTCTCGTGCCGCGTGCAAACAGGGTTCTTCGAGAGCGTGAGCGCGTTCCGGATGGCACCGGAAGACCGAAACTGGTGATACGTGAACTGACTATAACGCTTCAAATGAGACGGAATATTGTTACAGAATATATTAAGAAAAAGCATGGAATATTGCCTACTGACGTAACTGAAAGAACTGATTTAACTAATTTATTATATAGAAAATGATACATGAAGAACGCACATGTTTATTTATTTCCTTAATTTTTATCATGACGTCTATCAATCACAGAAAAATTATTAATTTAAAAAATTAATTTTAAGATTGTTGAAACAATACAAAACTTGTACTATAACAGAATATAAAATAAGATGTTTTTTATAATTATAATAATAATATAATTATAATTATAATGTTACTTTTATATTTTTGTTAATGTTCTTTAAAAAGTAAAATTTTAAATATATTTAAAATTTTTTTGAATTTGAAAAGAATATTATTATTGGAAGCATGAAACAGAAGTGCTTAACATAGAAATATAGAGCATACATTCCTATTTTATTTTATTATATTTCTTTATCTCTGATTAAAGATACGATCTAGCCCAATTACAGATGCTCTGTAACACTCTTATTGAAGTATTAATTATTATTTAATTTAGAAACAAGAAATACAACGACTTCCCACAACTGATATGTCGATCAATCTTACGTACAAAAACTGCCCAACGTTTCGGAAACTCGAGAGGGTAAGCCTACAGGAGATATCTCAGGAGGAAGTCTGGGAAGTCCTTCATGGACCCAATTCACTTACTTTGATTTGATTGGTCCTGTGTATGATTCGACTCCGTATATATATATATGTGCACGTAGTCAGGAGGGAAGCAAAAGGGAGTGAGGGTTACCGAAGGCAAGCTTTGGCATCGTGTTTTGCAAAGTTATACCGGCAAATCCCTAGCAGCAATCAACGTATTGGCTGTTCTTGTCAGAGTTGGCAACCAGTTAAGTCGCTCCCTGCTTCGGTTTATGGTTGAATACGTCGAAATTCGGCAGATCTCTTTCAACTGACATCCCCCTTCGCATTTGAAACTGTTTTCAACGAGCCGAAAAAGCATTTGATTACTTGGTGAAATTTTTTGTCGACTAAGTTCCGAATTTACTTTGCTACAATATATTGCTTTCTTTTTTTGAAAATACTTTTGTAACAATACTAGATCATTGATTGAGATAACTCGAATTAAAAATTACAAATTACAAATATAAATTGAAAAATAAAAATTTTCGAATAGAACACAATTCCGAGACAATTCAATTAAAAGAAAAAAGAAATTTATTTCTCATAATATCAGGCAACATAAAATTCTTTAAATCTTTTTATTATAACTCAGACTTTTGGAAGAACAATTCGTCGAGCGAAGGTTTCTGCTGGGTTGAAATTTTTCAGAATATACGGGTAAACATTTTTCAAGAAAGGCGTGAATAACGACCGAAATATTTTTCGCTCTTTTAAACGTGCTCTACGGTTTTCCCACTTTGCTGTTCAGCCAACCAATCCCTCTAAGCATGCCTTGCCGATCTCCGTCTTCTTTGTTCCTCCAAATGAAAGCATTTTAGGGTCTCAGCATAAAATTTATCCACCCCTTTAAGCAACTATGCGCATCTCTTTTTACTTCGTGGATTACTTCGTATTTACTAATTTTGATATTTCATTCCCTAATTTCGTTTGGTTTGCGATATCTCATGGATGAGACATCATGCGGAGTAAAATTTGTACTATAATTTGTGAATTTAAATTACACAAATGAGAAAATAAATAATTAAGAAAAATGAAAGAAAGATTAATTCCTATATCAGTTTTGTAATTTCTTCAAAATTTGTATAAATATAGATAGTAATAATGAAATGTATCGTGTAGAAAATAAAAAATTTATTATTTACTTTAATAATTACATAAATATGAAAATGTAAGATAAAATATTTTGATATTTCTACATCCTTTATATTTTATTATTTTACAAGATTAATATTTATAAAGATATTAATATATTAATATCTTTATAAAACATATATTATAATTTCTACGAAAAATCTTGTAATTTTATATCGAAGTATCTTATAATTAATGACATATTTCTTGTGGACAGGTAGAGTAATTTATACTAAATAGAAAAATTCTATATCATTTTGCGATTTTTGTAATATAATTAATGAAATATTAATTTGTAAAAATTCATGAATATGCATCCACATGAAGGCGTTATACGCTTAAAGATGATGATGGAGATGTGATTAATGGCAAAACATTTGTTTATAATGTACACCTCTAAATAATCTTGCTGCGCTTTTAGCAGCTGTGAATGTCATTAATTATTGTAAAATCATAAAATACTAAACGATTTTTTAGGATTTTTTAGTATAACTCGTTTTACCTGTCCACGAAAGATGTGTTATCAATTATGAGACACTCTATATAAATAAGAAGTGTGTGTGTGTGTGTGCGTGCGAGCGTGCGTGCGTACGTGCGAGCGTGCGTGCGTGCGTGCATGCGTGAAACAAATACTATTGTAATATTTTATGTATATATTTCTCATTTTGCATATATTCATATAAGAAAATAATTTAATTAAAATAGTATTTAGTTTTATTTATAAAGTTCAGAACAGTTTGTCGTTTTCGCTATATAAGGTTCGCGTTTTGAAAAAGCGTGCGCCAATAGAATCCATGAAGAGAATGATTCTGCCGGAGAGTTAGGGTAATAGCAAGATTTGATAGAAGATTCCGAAATGGAAGGGAACCAGACTCAATGAGTTTTGTGTGACAAATAACCGTTAAAAACACAGTGCTGTAACTCCACACCCCTCTGCGCGGCACGAGCCAGACATGACAACCTGGCATGAGAATCATGAGGGGTGTCACAGGGTGATAAAAGGGACGGGTAAAAATGTCCGGAGGGGTAATAGTTTAGATGATAGAGCACTTGATTACATTGCGATAATAAACTGATATCAACTTTGTTCGGTATACCGATTTGATATAGATACAATGGCCGTCATTTGTGTATACATGAATCAAATGCCATGTGACTTTGTACCTTTTGTCGTAACAGATGAGCATATATACGATCGTACTCTCTTGAACAATTTTCTTTGTATTTTACATATATATATATATATATATATATATATATTATATATATATATATAGTATGTGTGTGTGTGTGTGTGTGTGTGTGTGTGTGTGTGTGTGTGTGTGTGTGTGTGTGTGTGTGTGTGTGTGTGTGTGTTTGTATAGATGTTTGTATAGAGAGATGGATAGATAGATAGATAGCTTTTCCTTACATCAGAATTATAATTGCTACAAATGATATTGATATCTTGATTTGATATCTTTAAAAATAAACTACATTTTCCACTAATTTGTAAATTCATTCCTTCAATTTTTTATCATGTGTCATGTTGAGTTTTTATTAATGTATTTTTGAGATTTTTAATTAAAAAAAAAAAACACTGATAAATTTTAAAGAAGTTAGATAGGAAGAATATAAAGTAATATATGCATTTTTTCAATATTCCTTGTGATTGATCAATTGCTCAAATGGATTGATTTAAGTCGAACACGGAAGGATAAGCCGGTAGAGCGAAAATCGTAATATTATGGATATTTATGCACTTGAGCACGCATCGTATGCGAGCAAAAATACAGTAAAAGAGAGCTGCTTACGACCGAGAAGAGAGGTTGGTTTAGGTTGGATACTGGTAGCAGAGGTGAAATGGGAGGGTTTTTACGAGGCAGTAATGGCCGATAAGGTGAGCTTGCGCCCTCACCGTCGAGGCTTACTCCGCTACTGTACCCAAGTGACTGTTCAACAGTACCTATTCGCTGTCGTATACTCCTTTACTTTCCCTCGTTTGTCCGGAACGACTCATGCCACGCTTTATTTTAAGTCGTTTACACATTTCCTTTATCGGCACGAGCCTCATTTATATTACCGCGTCTGATATTCGCAATTCCAAAGCACTGAAAGATATCAGAAATTCGTTAAAATGTTCTTTTAATAAGTATCTTTAATAAGTAGCAGCTCATAAAGATAACACAACTCGTTTTAGAACAAGATAAGCAGCAGAATGGAATGACGAGCCGACGAATTTACACATTTAGTCCCCATCAAACTATCTCGCTGATATATATTTCTCCTTTATGTTATTTCTAATTGAAAATTTACCGTGTTTCTAGGTTAAACTTTTTTCTGAATCTGAACATCTTTGATGACTTTTTTTTTATGTAAAGACTTACGTAACAATATTTATGAAATAAAAGAATTTTTTTAACGCGCCATTTTGACGTCCAAAGCACGAGTCGATGCATTTGTATTGACAAGAGTCGATTAATATATTTATAAAGACTGTCATTTTCTCAAAAAGAAGTTGTTTGCAATTCTTACGACTCGGGATATAAATAAATATAGCATGGGAAAGAACAAAGAACAATCCGCCGCAACTCTGGTTTTGTTGTTCACAGGAGCGAACGGAATGCGCAGGCGTGGCCGACAGACCTACACGCGCTACCAGACTTTGGAACTGGAGAAAGAATTCCATACGAATCACTATCTCACCAGGCGGAGGCGGATCGAGATGGCACACGCTCTCTGCTTGACGGAACGGCAAATCAAAATCTGGTTTCAAAATCGGCGAATGAAATTAAAGAAGGAGATTCAAGCGATCAAGGAGTTAAACGAACAAGAGAAGCAAGCGCAAGCGCAAAAGGCGGCAGCAGCAGCGGCGGCGGCTGCGCATCAGCAGCAAGGAGGCGGTGGGGGACCAGAGGGGGGTAACTAGGGGTACGCCCTGCATCGGAGCCCCCCTGACCACCCCACCGCCAATCCACACCACCCTCTACTAGCATCGCAATGTACACAATTGTATTAAAGGTAAGTGCAAAATATGCAAAATAATTTTTGCTGTTATTTTATAGATAATATTAAAAATATATATTTATATAAATAATTTTATTAAAGATATTGTAAAATTTATATTTTTTATTTTATGAGGTATTTACACGTTTATCGATAAATCACAATATAAAATTGCAAATTAGCACTCCTGGATTAATAAAACGGACATACGCTTGATGCAACAGTTAAAATTATGCTCTAAAAAAATGCTATTCGCATAAACGTTAAAAGCAGCGTTAAAAATGAGATTCGAGCTTTTAGCAGGAGCGGCTTTAAAATTAAGTTTACTCGACAGGCTTAATGAGGATAAACCGCATACAAGTGTGTGTCTTCATAATTTTCTAAGTTATGTTGTTCGCGTGTGTTTAACTTACGCTGAACGCGCATCCCACGAGAGCAACAAAAGCAAACTTGAAATATCGCCTCATGTTATTCTGCCGTTTCTGTCAATGCTGAATTAAAAATTTATCAGTTTTATCGTAATGTGATCTGTAATATATCTGTTTTTATTATTTTTTTAAACAATCATCAATACAAAATTGATATTATGATCAAGAGTTTTCTTGCAAAAACTATCAAAATACATAAATTCAAAAAGAAATCACTGAGAAGTGATACATAATCTGAAGTAAATGAATAGCATAAAAAAGAAAGTAGAAAATGTAATTTGATAGAAAATACAGGATAATGTAGTATTAATTTCGCTGCAAAAAATTACTGCAAAAAATTTGCTATTAAAATTATATTTCTATATAATTTGGGAACCAACCATTAAAACTAACATTTTAATTGCTTGGAGACAATATCAACTGTAAAAAAGATCTCTCGTTTCTTTACTCTCACGAAAATTTTTATCATTATAAGAAAACATTTATGATTCTTTTCATATTTAAATTAAAAAGGCAAACCTTAATGATATATTAACCTTAAAAGTAATTCATAATTAAATGTCAATTATATTGCACATTATTTATATTGCACATTATGTGTTTTTCTAAAAATAAATATTTTTTCATGTTTTACAATTTTAAATATATATTAAAAAAATATATATATTTAAAAATATATATATATATTTTTTTTTCATATTTTGAAGAAATATATATAACGTATAATTTTAAGTTACAAAAATATTTATAAAATAGGTCTTATTTTAATTAACTTTTTCAAAGTATATTTGTTTTAAAGTAAATCATAAAATATTATAAAAGTACACATACATAAAAAATGAAGAACTTAATTTATTACATATACATTTCCAAAATATTTAAAACGTCTGCAGTAGAAAGGAAATATGCCAGATAAAAAGCTATGATCGAAACTCCTTATTCTTCGGAACCTACTGGAGCGCTTAATATCCCTTTTTTGGTATCTTCGAACGACGAAGAAGTTCGGGCATAAATTTTGTCCCGATTGCACGGAATATTACGCCAGCGAAGCGATTCCCCGATTAACTCCGTGGATTGCACCGTAATTGTACGCCACTTGAATCGCGATTAAATAACGCTCCGCCGCTGATATTTATTAATCACATTTATTTAATCGCCCATATCAGAATAATTGCACTTTCAAAATAAAAGTATTATCGGTTTCTTGGATAAGCATAGAAACAATAAGTAATAAGCTTTGACAAAAATTAGAATTGTTTTGTTTTTGACTAATCTAATATCATTTATTTTTATACTTTGTTTTACAATATATTAGGTTTTTCTTTTATTTTTATTTTTTTATAATTAATCTAAATTTAATACATAAAAAAGATACAAAGAAAATACATTTGAAATCTTGCCACAAAAATTTTATGGAAGTAAATCGTATTTCTGAATGCATCATGAAAAAAAGAATGAAACATAGATTTATTCTTGTGAATCGATCAAGATATACGCGAAGATAAATTTTGTTGGACACGAAAAAGCAATTTAGGAGAGTTTTAATGGCCTACGTATATTAGGGAACAGTTGTGACAAAATCGAATCATTAATTCACTTCTTTTTATCAAGATAAAATCGTTTGCGAATATTTTTATTAATTTGCATAAGAAAATATATTTATATTTCTCTTTACATGCTTATGTTATATAAAAGGAAAAGAATTTTTCACCACACATAAAAGAAATTTGATTAAACATTTTATTTCAAATACAGAAAAAAAAATAATTTTATAAGTATATAATGTACATATATGTATTATATGTACATATATGTATTATATGTACATATATGTATATATATGTACATATATGTATATATATGTACATATATGTATTATATGTATATTTAAATTATGTACTATATTCGAATTACTTGTGCTATTTCTGTTTCTAATTATAACTAGTCACGATTAATTTTGAATTTTATTTTTATTCACTTTTTAATTAACATTTTTTCTTCATATTAACAGATATCTATGTATATAATCTTGTATTTTTTTTTATTGTGTATACGATATATGAACGGTCAATGAACTGTCAATGAACAATACGGTAATGCCATCTGTCGGTTTTATAGTTCCTGAATTATGTTATGGCTGCTTCATCTTTCCGTTCGTGGGCGTGGTTAAGGCGTGGATATCTATTTTTTGGCATTGGTCTATTACTAATTATGAAAGTTTATTGCTATTTCCTAATATGATATTATTAAATTACACATTTACACAATTACACTAATTATTTGGAAACGTACATAAAGTATGCGAAATACAAAAAAAAAATTTATTCAAAATTTGAATCGCTCCGTGTAATACTCCGCGAAGCACTTATTTTATATCCACTTGAACTCTTGTGGTACTCTTGTGGTAGGTGGCAGCACAAATCAGCGTTACTCGGTCGATAACGTTTTATCTGCCTTACCGACTTCTCTATCGGTACATAACTTAATTCAGAAGTTGCCTCTACCCACCAAGCAGGATGTATTGAACGGTAGTTCGATGATCGCCCGTAATGCGCTTTATGGTTTGTTTTTATCGACGTGGTTATATAGTAACTCACGACCTTCCTGTTTCTCGGCGTAGTGAGTCGAATCGGCGCGACGTGCCCATGTGCGCGCGAGCTGGTATTGGTGTCATATAAAACGCGCACTGTGCTGAGTCGGCAGGGCTATTCACATTTTCCCCGCGAATGCATTCCCGGAGCTATCGGTCAATAATCCAATAAACCCGCGATTCGCAGTCCCATGAAGAGAAAATAAAGTACCGACGTCGCGTGATTTTATTGCGTAGTAAAGCGTGATTTCGACAGATCGATGCGCGATCACCGTCGCCTCTTCGCGCGCGCGTTCACTTATCCGCTCGCCAAACGGGTAGGTCAGGGATCTTTATTGGCTGTAAAGGAAGACGTTTTACGATCCATAAAAGCGTTTATAGCGCTCAAGCAGTCTTACCTCGGTTCTTACATCCCGGTTATATCCATTACCCCTTCCGCGGCCTTTCCAAGGGCGGCCACTGGCACGCGTTTTCTCTCTCTCTCTCTCTC